GAGGGTCCTTTTGCTTATTTGATGGTGTTGCTGATCCTCCCTTCGGCCGTGTAACTGTAGAGGTGTCCACCGAGCCACTGAGATGTGGACAGTGTGTTAAGAGGGCATGAGCGCACATGGGCATGGATGCACGCAAGAGCTCCCCGCAGCTCCCACTGACCTAGCGGGAACACAAAGGAGCCTCAGGGCAGTGGTCCATACCCCTGAGAGAGAAATAACCAGCCCAGGTCCCTCTGTCCCCTGGGATTCTCTCAGCCAAACCCTGAAGACACCATGGGGAAGGGCAGGTTTGCAGTATAAATAGGCCTAGAGGTATGATAAGCTCTGGCCGGACAAGCCAGGTGTGTCACCATCTTTAGGAGAGAGAATCGCTCATCCAGGGCTGTGTGCCACAAGAGAGCACCGCGTTCAGCTCCTGCATGAATGAGGCTGCCGTAGCCACTCTCCTCACTTGAGGCAACTGAGGCCCAGGCTGACTGATGACCTGGCTAGGAGGCCCCGGGCTTTAGACTTGACAGTGCAGGGGCCATCTCTTGTCCATAGTTGCCCAGCTTCTCTTACACTTCCTGTGTCTGTAGTCTCCCGTGGTATGAGGCCTGCCTCTCAGCACTAGAATCAGAACTCAGCCTCCCAGCCTCCCTGGAGGAGTCCGACCCGGTGAGGCCCCAGGATCTGTCTGAGCCCCCTGACCTTTGAGCTCCGCTTCCGGTCGGATCAACACGTTGGCAAGGCTACTGTTGTGCACCCCCCGACCTTGGAACAAAGCTTGGGTCAGTTAGCATGTCAGCAAGGCTGCTTGCTATTTGCTCCAGAGAATTGAGGCAGCCTCACTGGGAAGCGACCCCCCCTCTGACTCCCAATTTACTACTATGAAAGAATTGCATAGCTCTCCTATACATCCTGAGTATATGATAAAATCTTCCAGGAAGTCCCCGACCGCTCCCCTTTGCTCTGATCACTTACTATTAATTACAATGCTTTATCTCCATGGTCACAATAGAGGGTGGGCTGAAGTTCTTTCTAGGCAGAAGTAATCTTGACCTTTGGAAGGCCCTTTAAAAATACATCCTTTCTTTACCTAAAATAAGATTAGGCCAAAACTGGCCCAGGACACCTCTGCCCTCTCCAAGTGAAATAGATAAATATATTAGGATTCCTCAAATTAAGTTTTAGATCCCTACAAAACTGTATAAGTATCATTCCTTATTAGACCCATAAAAACTAATATCTATTCTTGAGATTTTCTTTTCTCAGCACCATTCCCAGTAATCAGAAGATGGCTGCTGCACCGCATCAGCTGATAATCATCTCTGCTTACCGGAACCGCTTTCCCAAAACTGCATTCCATGGAGACCCACCTACAATTGAGGAACTGCACTAGACCCACCCTTAATCCACCCCTGAATAGAATCTATGTTCTTTATTGTTAAAAGACTTTATGGGCTGATAATTGAAACACTAGCCCCTCTCCCATTTACCTGTATGTAACACATTCTCAATAAAAAGGCACGATGATTCCTAGCAGTTGTCACTCCTCAGAGAGCGATCTCTGAGGGGTGTCTGGCATAGGACGTGCATGAAAGGCATCGAGGCCTCTGTCTTCTGTTCACCTTCGCCACCTTCGTCGAGATAACCCACCCACGCCGAGGCTGGACCCCGGCACCTCCCAGCCTCCCCTGCTCCAGGGCACAGGTGTGGGGAGCTTAGCCAGTCAGATTCTTGCACATGACCTTGGTTGAGGAGGGAGTAACCTGAAGAAGTGGGCTGGGGACTCCATCTAGTAGCAGAGGCATCCAGCTTTGGATGGTGGCAGGGGGGCTTCTGATGCACCACATCCCTTTGCCACACCTGCCTGAGCAATTTCTTTCCCACTTCTCTGCCTCTTGAATTCCCAAGTCATTAAATGAGAGCCACCGCCAAACCCTGGGACACGCTGTGAAAATTAGAGAAAGGTGTCTCTCCTGGGAAGGCTTTGTGCCACATGCTGGCTGGCTTCCAGCCCCCACTTGTCTCCTGGAGCTGAGCTCAGTGTTACTTGGCAGCCCTGGGCCCACATGGCCTCCTTGGGTCACATCCTCATCGGAGGGAGCCATGCCCACAGGCCGATACCCAGGCCTCCTTTGTGCCACATGGCCTGTGGGTTTCTCAGCAGCACTGGGTGGGGCTCTGTGGTCACTTTTCAGGGAAGGGCTCTCAAGCTCAGTCCTCAAGACTCATCCCTCTGCTCCTGCCCTGCTGGAACACACTGGCTCCAGGAGACCAAGGCCAGCCCTTGCCTCCTGTTTCCTGAGTCTGATAGCCACGTCATCTCAGAGGGTCCATTTAAGGAAACACGCTGGGTAGGTGGAGGTCCTGGCCCAATACTTAGAAATGATTCTGAACAAAAGCGCTAGAGATTTCTAAGAGATGCATGTGCAGATTCAGCCCCTCAGGGAGACCTCAGAGAATAAGAGCCTAGCAGTCTTTGGTAGGGCTCGAATCTCCCAGGCATGGGGATCTGGAGCACTAATTGGCATTGCTCCTTGTTCTAGCCACAAGTCATGCATGACACTGCCAAAACTGTGGGCCACCCAAGGCCCCAAGTGCACCAAGTGTAGAATGCTAGCAGCAAGGAGAGGTGACATCCATATGCTGTGTCCTTCCTACTAGCGAAGCCAGGCTTTGGAAAGGGTCAAGGCTGAGAATCACGGTCTCCTTCACAGACCTGGGGCTTGGCATCTGGAGTTTGATGACACCAAACTCAGGTCATTATTTTTGTGACGCAGTCTGTGGCTCAGTCCTAAAATAATTAAGGATCCAGAGAATTAATAGGTTTTCACTTAAGGAGGACTTGTTAAGCTAGACCGACAAATCTAAGGTGGTCTCAGGGGACCCTTCCAGGTCTGACTTTTACTGCTCCAAATGGAAAATTCTTGGCTGAGTGCTGGGGGAGGGATCAGTGTTGCAGCCTACACGCTGATTGGCTTGTTCTACCATAGGCATGAGTGACATCGTGAGTACAGGGCCTTCAGCTTCATGTTCCAGAAACTTCAGTTCCAGCTGACACTCACTAGCTAGTTTCATGTAAGTAAGTTTTATTTCAGCAAAATAATAGGTTCTTCTCAGACTTTTGAGGGTCTTTGGGGGTGACCCAAATATCTTGATGATATTCATAGATCAGCCTGGGACTAGCCATGGACAATCCACCAATCTGGGACTTGGGCAGAGGTTGGGCCCCAGCTGAGTCCTGAATGGCATGCCTTGGCAGGCCCCCAGTCATAAGACAATCTGTTTCCAATAGTGCTGGCTCTGGTGGTGACCTGGCAGACATCACTAATCAATTACTGGGCTTCAGAGTCCTTATCAAGAAAGCTCTCCGGCAGCCACTACTGATCAATCCAAGTTGACATCTTTACTGTGTCTTACTTAAAGAGTTCTCCTCACCTGACTGATGATTCTTAAGAAGTGCAAGTTACTCATGGGCAGGCACTTTTCCTTACTTCCTCCTCCCTCAATTCCCTTTTCTCCTTTCCCCCATCTGTACTATTTTCCCTGATCTACCGAGACATCTTGGAGGAATTAGGGCAAGCAGGGCTGGAGTGATGCTCACAGCCCTGAGACACCCCCCCACACACACACACACATACAAGGCAGCCCTTCTCTTCCACGTTTCTGGGCAAGCTACTTGCCCCACCTCAGTGACCAGACCTGTCCCAGAGAGGGGCCCCAGAGAGCCTCCCCAGTACTCACCCAGCAGCCCCGGGTTGGGGAACCTCCAGGAATCGTTGTACGAGGAATACTGAGGGTGGCTGTAGGGACTCCCGGAAAACTCACTCCCTGCATGTGGTGGGTGGAAAGAGAAATAGAAACCAAATATTAAATCAAGTTTAGAAAAGGCCCTTGGGGCCCAGCCAGCCTGAGGCCAATGGTGTTTACCTCTTACCTGAGCCGCGGATACTTTATTTTTATTTATTTATTTATTTTTAGATTTTTGCCATAAGGCACGTGTGCTTACTGGAGAGACAGGAAAAAACAGAGGGAGGGAGAAGGAAAGTGAGAAATCAGCCCCCAGGGGCAATGCCTACACCACAATCCCTTCTCCTCCTTTCTCCTCTTGGAATTTTGGGCACACAGGCAAAGGTACTCTGCATGATTTTCAAGTTGAGACTGAGATTTGAACTGCAGAGTATGCGATATGGAATATAGCCACCTTAACCTCCATGCCACCTACTGCCAACTGAGGCCCACAACCTTTCTAAGCAGACCGCCATTACTGCGTTGTCTGTATTTCAATCAGTGGGCATGAACACACATGTGCACTGTGGGCGTACCACGTGCAGGTATTTCCTGGGGCCATTGGTCCATTTCACAAGGGAGGGGAGGAGACTGATGCCCAGGGTCTCTCATAAAGTGGCCTCGATCCCCCTGGCCACACCCAAAGTCCCAGTCTGCTTGGTTCTCAGCCCAGGACCCCAGCATGGGTTTTACTCCTCTCCCCATATGCTCCTGAGCAGCTCTGGATAGAGAAACCAAAGGTAGGCTTAGCTCCTTTTTGGCCCTCTGTGCTGTAAATCCAGGGATGGTTGTTCAGGGCTTCAGACCAGAGAGATAGACCTAAACCCAGGCCCTCTGCCTGGAAGAGGCACTCAACACTTTGTTGGATAAAAGGACAAACCAAAGGGCCGGGGGAAAACAGAAGAGGAAGTGAACTGGGGCCTTCCTTGCACTGGGAAAGAAAGAGGCAGCTGTTAGGGTAGGGGCAGCTGCTCTGGCAGTCCCTGTGAGATGTGCCAGGGCATGGGGGCATGGTAGGACTTGAGGCTGGTCAACTCTGGCCTAGCTACCCATGGAGTGGTAGGGCTGCCTCTAGCCCTCCCTGGGCTCTGCACCCCGGGAAACCTCTGTATCACTGCCCAGGGCACAGGACGGGTTCACAACTCTGCCCCTCACAGCCTTGCTGCCTCGGTCTCACAGCAGACAGTATGCTGGCTCTCTCCACGGTGGGGCCTCAGGGAAGGTGGAATTTTGGCCTCCTCAGTGGGGCCCGCTGCGCCTGGCAGAGGGGTGTCCAGCAGAGGCCCTGGAGCAAACATGGCAAGCTGGCTGGTGAGTGGCTTTTTTAAGCCACTGGGGACAGCAGGTGGGTCCTTCCCTGCTGGCAGTGACAGGAGTTACGCAGACCCAGGAGACCATCTGCAACCCAAGCATGCCTCCACCATTCCCAAGGGTGCCTATGAGGGCCAAAGGGCACATGGCTCCAGAAGGGAACAGCCAGAAACTGGGATTGGGAGCCGAACTCTCTCCCCCTGTGGCCCAGATCCAAATGGGAGCCCCTGGGACTCAGCCAGAGGGGCAAGAACAATGAGGGAGGACCCCTGGGCCCAACGCGCCTCCTCCCCACCCCTACAGGCAAGCACAGGCAGAGCGTGTCCACATACACACACACACACACACACGCACGCGCGCATGCACACACGTGCTCCTCCTCGGGCCTCTCTGGGGGCCACTCCCAGCCTGACAGCCTGAGTCTTCCAATTCTCTGTTTTTTATGCCTCAGTGGTCAGGGTGTCAGGTTCCGCGTGCGGAGGGAGAACATGGTGACAGTGCTGGGCTGCGCAGCCCAGCCTCAGCAGATCCATCAGTGCCGTGCCTCCTCCTCCTTCTCCTCCTCCTCCGGGACTGGTGAGGAGAGCGGAGAGACAGAGGCTCCTGGAGAAGGGACTGGCTGTCCGCCCTGCTGGGCTCTGGGGCCACCAAGCTGCCCCCTCAGAGGCACTTCCCACCAGTGCGGGGCTTGGCCCTGGGGCAGAGGGGACTATGACACTGGCCAACTCTGCCTCTTGTTTTAGCATCATTGCTCCTGCTGCCAGGACCAGCTCCAAGGCCACCTCTTCCAAGAAGCCTCCCTGATCTCCAGCTCCCTACAGTTCAAGTCTCAATCATTCACGGATTTGTCGTGGCCATGTTAGCCATCCCCACATCGGTACTGGCTCCTGGAGGCCTATGGAGGACCACGAACAGCTCCCAATTTCTTTAGAGGATATGTCTTTTATTTATTTATCTATTTACCCTCTGAGAATAGGTAGTAAACACTTCTCGCAAAAAAAAAAAAAAAAGGCCAAAGAGCCCCTATCTAAAACATCCCCCCACTAGAAGGATGGAGGAAGGATGGAACAAACCCCCACTTTCTGAGTGATAAAGCCAGAGTGTCTATCTCATTAGGGCAGGGCACACCTCCCAGGAAAAAGGATACTGCCAGTGACTGGAGACCCCCAACTCCAAACCCCTAGGAGCGGGGACTGTTAGCTCGAGATGCCCCCCAAAAAAGGGCTCGGGAGCCCCTCCTCCACCCCCTTAGCCAGGCAATGGGCAGACAGGCTGTGACTGCCAGCTCCTGGTGCAGGGACAGCCAGGACCCCCGTGGGCCTTGGCAGCACGACCCCTCCCCTCCCCTTTCCCCTGGGCAGGCAGGTGAGTGCGAGGGGTGGGGGAAGGTGCCTCCTCACCTTCCCCTCAGCATGGCACCCAAAAAAGACAGAGCTAGAACAAGGGAGAGCGAGCACCACGGGGCGGAGGGCGGGAGACCGTGAGGCTGGGAGGGAAAGCAAGCGAGAGCTAGAGGGTATGTCTGAGCCAGTGCTGTCCGCCGTCTTCAGTCCTGTCTCCCGCCTGGCCCCATGGCGCTAAGTATAGAGGAGTGGGGGTGCCTCTCACTGGGAAGCCTTGCATGGGTTTGCCCTGCCCTTCACGGAGTCCCCTGGGGCCTGGCTATCTGGCCCTGCAGGTCCATCTGACTCCTCTCTGTACTGTGAGCTGCTTGGCACCCCAGTTTCGCACACATCCACCACCCACGGGTCCCTGACGCTCCCTGCGACGCAGCACCTCCCACAGATGACCGCCGGGCTGTCCACCTCCGAGGCCTTGTCCCCACGTGGTCATCCCTGTGATGCCTCTGCTCACTGCTGCCTTTAAAAAGGAGCCTTTTTGCCCCATTCCTCCCTCTGCTTTATTCTTCTCTGTAGAACTTATCGGCTCCAGCCTGCCTTGTTTGGGGTGCTCAGGGAGTCACCCCCCTCTTCTAGATGCCGGCTCCATGTGGGCAGGCAGAGTCGTCTGTTCGTGTGCCTTTCCAACCTCTGGGAGTGAGCCTGGCATCGAGCAGGCACGGGGAACTATTCATTGAACGAATGAATGAGGGAGTGAGTGAATGGGGGCCTAAGTCAAGCAGGGACCCAGTCAGGGCAAACGTCTCCGACTCCAAGGATGGCTGCCCTGCTTCCTCTCTGTACCGAGAGCCGGGGCGCACTACGCACCTGCTGCGTGCCAGGATCCAGGCCGATTTCTGTGAGGCCATGGTCCCATGGTGGGGGAGACAAACCCTCCAGGGACACCCTGCTCCGCCTGGCATGCTGAGAGTGGCGGGGTGGTGGGTGCCCTCAGCACCTGCTCAGATGCCCGGTGACAGTGATGCACTCTGGGTAAAGGCAGCTCGATTGTCTCTGAAGCAGGAGGCTTACCCAGAGGTTGCCCCAGTCAAGTGCCGGGGCCCTGGGGTGGCATCTGGATAGATGAAGTGTCACGTGGGGAGCTGGCTGAGTGCAGAGAGCTCTTACCCCATAAGATATGGGGAGGCCAGGTCCCCACTCACCAAGGACGCTGCCTGTCTGTAGACCTGGCCTGCCAGGCCACAGAGCTGCCTGGGGTGTTGTGGATCCGCTACTTGGGTTCACGCCAGGCGCTATGTCAAGACCCACGGGTGTAGCTGGTCTGGCAGAGAGGTAAGGAAAAGGGCTCTGGCCTGACTCCCTAGCTCTGTGACCTTTGGTAGGTCACTCAACCTCTCTGTGCCTCAGTTTCTCCCTCTGTAAAGTGGGAATAACTAGTAGGTTGTTGTAAAGAACACATGGCTGCTGTGGAGAGCAAATGAACCAACACGCAGTGCCGTGACACTCAGCAAATGTCACCATGGTGACGATGAGCCTAGACGGGTCGCACAGGCCACCTTGGCACCCAGAATCAGTGAGCACTCCTGACAACCCTGTGGCGCTCACGCAATGATGGCAACTATCTACATGTTAAATGTGGAAAAAATGGGGCCTCAGGAAGGTGGGGGGGTCTTGCCCAGGCCAGGAGGCCATGCCTCAGCCAGGCCCCTGACTTCCATCCCAGGATTGCCCTCCCACCTTGGGCCTCCGTTTCCCTATTTGTAAAAGGACAAGTGGGACGAGAGATGTCGAGAGGCCCTCCTTGTCCGCCGAGCCTGGTTCCACACCGTAGTCAGGGTGCTTGGAGTAGGCTAGACGCCCCGAGTGCTCTGCAGCCCGCCGATCCGGGCCTCCTTGGGGCTGGGGCTCCAGGCCCTTGCTTTACTCCCCCTGCTTGAACTCAGCACCATCACTTCTTTTTTTTGTTGTTTATTTATTTATTTTTTTTTTTGAGAGGTTTTTGCTATAGGGCGCATGCGCTCGCCAGCCAGCCAGAGACATAGAGACAGAAAACGAGAAATCCCCCCCCAGGGGGATGGTCACGCCGCAATCCCTTCTCTTCCATTCTCCTCTCGGGATCTTGGGCACGCACGCACACGCGCCCAGCGTGAGTTTTAAGCCACCGGGTCCAGGACGTGAACCGCGGTCGACTACGTGGGAGTCCAGCGACATAGCCATTACGCTAATTGCTGGTTCCCAGCACCATCACTTCTGAGGAGCACTTGCCTTCCAGCCTGGCACCTCAAAGGGAACCTTCAAAAAACAGAGAAGGCCTGGGGGCATGCTGGGATGCTCTCTGGGGTGGAGTCTGGGGGTATAAGGCCTTGAAGGACGGGTGAGACTCCGAGAGCA